GGATCGCTTGTTGTTTCCCTGTCCCTGGGTTTGTTAACACCTCTTCCCTTCCCCCCACCTCCCCCTATCCCATGTTCCCCCGGAACTGTCAGCCCCGTTGTTTTCTCCTCCAGATTGTTAAAAGAACCTTTATTGATACCGCTACTGGCATTCATATATAATCAATGGAAGAAGGTTTGGAAAATTGCAGGAAATTATTTTGATATTATCTTCTTTTTCCCTCCCTTTCTTCATTAAGCACACACACACTCATAACTTGCTTCAAAATAGTATTTCAAACACTACCAGAATCAATTGGGAACTTGGTATAAATTCAGGTTTCTGGAACCTACCGAATCATACTTTTGAAGAGTGCAACCCACAATCAAAAATATATTTACATATTTTTTACTAAACAACTTCCTTACGTGCTCAAAATGAGGCTTTTAAAACAAAAAGCCAGTGGGGATGCTGCCCTCATGACAAAGCATAAAAAAAGGTTTTCCGGGACTGACATAATTATTCTTTTATTGGAGAAATAATTCTGAATTACTCTAACAAACTCTTGTGTAAGATTTATAAGTAAATAATATTTGCAAGTAAATACATGCTTTTTTCTTTGAAGTTCTTACATTTATCATTTTCAACTGTAGTCACATTTTAAAATGATGCCTGCAGAGTATCCTATTCCCATTCATCTTGAAAAAGTTACATTTTAAAAAAGTATTATCTCCTTCACAACTGTCTTCGCACAGCACATAGACACACTCTGATCGGACTCTGACCCACACTGAGACTCATCTCCCATTCTGAACTGGAAAGAAATCTCTGGCCCTCTCCAGAGGGCCACGTGCAAGGCCTTGCAGTTGTCACGTTTGCCAACATGGTACTGACAATGCTCTTCCTGAAGAGCTAATCATGATCTCACCCATGCAAACCCCTTGATCATTTCTTTCCCCAGGATTAACCCACTCCCCTATTTTTGTTCTTTTTTAATCATTTTATTGGGGGCTCATACTGCTCTTATCACAATCCATCCATTCATCCATTGTATCAAGTATATTTGTTGCGATCATTATTTTCAAGATATTTTCTTTATACTTGAGCCCTTGGTATCATTTTTCCCCCTCTCTACCCAACTCTCCCTCCTTCACAAACCCTTGATAATTTATTAAAACTTTTGTTTTCATGTCTTACACTGGCCTATGTCTCCCTTTACCCACTTTTCTGTTGTCCATCCCCCTGGGAGGGGGTTATATGTTGATCCTTGTGATAGGTTCCTCCTTTCATCCCCCACCTTCCCCTTACCCTCCTGGTATCGCTACTCTCATTATTGGTCCTGAGGGGTTTATCTGTCCGAGTCCCTGTGTTTCCAGCTCTTATCTGTACCTGTGTACATGCTCTGGTCTAGCCAGATTTGTAAGGAAGCATTAAAGAACTAGAGGAAAGTTGTATGTTTGATCGGTGCTATACTGCACCCTGACTGGCTCATCTCTTCCTTGTAACCCTTCTGTAAGGGGATATCCAATTGTCTACAGATGGGCTTTGGGTCTCCAGTCTACCCTTCCCCTCATTCACAATGATATGATTTTTTTTGTTCTGGGTCTTTGATGCCTGATACCTGATTCCATCAATACCTCATGATCACACAGACTAATGTCATTCTTCCATGTGGGCTTGGTTACTTCTCAGCTAGATGGCCACTTGTTTATCTTCAAACCTTTAAGACCCCAGATGCTATATCTTTTGATAGCCAGCACTATCAGCTTTCTTCACCACATTTGCTTATGCACCCATTTTGTCTTCAGCAAGTGTGTCAGAAAGGTGAGTATCAAAGAGTGCCAAGTTACTACAACAAAGTTTTTTTGTGTTAAGGGAGGCCTTGTGTAGAGGTCCAAAGCCCAACTGCTATCTTAATACTTAACATATAAATATATGTACATATATCTATTTCCTTATCCTTATATATATAAATATATTTATGTATGTACATGCCTGTATTTAGACCTCTATAAATGTTCTTTGCCTCCTACTTCTTTCCTCTATTTCCATTTACTCTCCTCTTGTCCCACCATCATGTTTGGCCTTCATGCAGGTTTCAGTAATTCCTTTCAGTTACATTGCCCTTGATCAAGTCCTCCTGTCCATTGAATTTAGATCACTTGTTGTTCCCTTGTTAATACCCACTTCCTTTCCCCTTCCTCCCCGCTCTCCGTGTTGCCCCACCCCTGCCCCTGGAATCATCATTCCCATTGTTTTCTCCTCTGGATTGTTTATCCCACCTATCTTATTGAGATAGACATATAGAGATCATAATAAGTTTTTTGTTCTTTTCTTGAACCACTCCCACCCGAGATACTTGTTTACTTGCCAATTTTCCTAGTAGTTGATGTTGTTGTTGGTACCATTGAGTTGATTTTCATCCCATATCAACCCCAGGAGACAAAGTAGAATGATCTCCCTGAGTTTCTAGGCTGTACTTTTTACATAAGCAAATCACCAGGTCTTTTTCTCACACAGTCATTGAGAGGATTTGAACAGCCAGCCTTCAATATGCAGCTAAGTACTAGCCTCCATTCTGATTCAAATATATTACCTTCCATAACCAAACCCTCTACAGCTTAGAACCTAAACAGTACTTAGAGTTAGTGTTGCCGCAATTTGACAAGTTCTTTTGACAGACAACAGGGATGGGAGAGAAGCCTTGGAAATCAGAAAGCTGCGTGTTAGGATGTCCAAAGAACTCACTAGAATGAGCAAGCAGCGGCTTTCTTTGATGGCACCACAGCATCCCAGGAAACCCAGAATCATGGTGATGGAACCCACAGCAATCAAGAGGTTTGCAGGAACACTGGAGTAAGAGTCTCCATGGCTGATAAACTAAAAAGAACGAAAGAAAAAGGATGAGTGACAAGAAATGCCTTTCCTTGAAGTTTATTTTGCTCAACAAACATTTTTGAATACCTAACATGGGCTGGTCCCATGAGCTAGTTCTAGATTTTGAGATCCTTCAGTGATCTAAGCAAGCAAACATGCCTGCTTTCCTGGAGCCGGTGTTCCATTGACACGTGTCTTATCTGAATGTCTCTAAATCTATGTTTTTTAAAATGATGTATTGGAAGTCGGATGGAAGAAATGTAATGAGCTTTGAAAACATTGATAGTTTAAAAAATTTAGAACGGGTTAACCTTATTCTTTTTGAGGTCACCATTGGCCCACATATTTCACGCTTTATAGATGTTGTTGTTACTTACCATGACATTAATTCTGACTCATGGGCACCTCAAGTGTGCAGAGTAGAACTAACTGCGCTCCTCCGGGGAAGCAGGTTGCCGTACTTTTGTTGTTAAGTTTCCACTGGATAAGTTTGAACTACCAACCTCTTGCATAATAGACTAGCACTTAACCATCTGGGCCACCCAGGGACTCCAGTAGTTTATACATGACTCACGGCCAATGAATCTATGCCAACTCATAGAGACCCTGTAGGGCAGAGTAGAACTGCTCCTATGGGTTTCTGAGACTGTAACTATTTACGGGCGTAGGAAGCCCTGTCTTTCTCCTGCAGAAACGCTGGTGGGGCCAATCTGAAACTTATGCTGATCGCAGCCCAAAGCTTAATCACTACACCACCAGGGCTCCTTTAGTTATATGTGTAGCATTAAAAAGCATGTATTTTTCTGGCAATTTAAACTTATACACCCAAGTTCTTCTTGATACTACATGATTGAATCTTAAAGACATGAGCTAAAGATAACAGATGCAAAACAGTACATTTGATATGATTCCATTTATATGACGTTCAAAAATTGACACGGTGAATTTATGGTGTTAGAAATCAGGGCAGTGGCTTCACAAAACCCACAGGTGAGAAACAAGAAGCTGACTGGGAGTAGAGCTGGGAGACATGATGGACTGATGAAAATACCTCGTGTCTTGACTGTGGTGGTGTCATACAAATCTATTTATTTGTCAAAACAAACAAAAGAAATTCAAACTAAAAAAAAAAAGTCCATGCCCAGCTTTTTCCTATCAAGTCCACTTCCTCATTTCCAAACAGTATAGTTCATAAAGTCTTCCGGAAGCGTCTTTGTTTGATCTGGCCTGTCAAGGAATGAGATAACTCAAGCCAAACCCAACTCACTTCCGGTGAGTAGGCTCTGACTCACACTGGGTGGAACAGAACTGCCCCTGTGTTTCTGAGGTTGCAGCTCTGTAGGAGAACAGAATGCGTCATCTTCCTCCCACAGAGACTGGTGGCTTTGAAGTCCTGATCTTGTGATTCGCAAACCGCTCATAACCCCAAATCCTCAGGTTCTTATTGGTGTACTGGGTTACACACACACACACACACACACACACACACAATCATTGCAATGGGAGTGGCTTCTGACTCATAGCAACCCTATTGGATAGAATAGAACTGTCCCGGTGGGTTTCTAAGAAGAAATATTTACAGGAGTAGAAATTCCCTTATCCATCTTGTGGTTAGCAGCCCAATGCCACCAGGCTTCATCCTGCATCATTCTGTCCTTCTTCCCTCATCATCTCACAGCACTTTGCACTAGTTCCCCATTTATCTTCAATGTACATTCATAAGTAAATTACTATTAATAGTGAAACCTTGTTCTTGTGCTGTATGTGAATAACAGGCACAGCCCACATCTGCTTTGTATCTCTTCTTATGGGCCCTTTTCAGGTAGAACATCAGTTCTCAAACTAACTCAGTGCCTTTGCCTTCTCCAATCTGCAGTACAGCTTGCAGGTCAACGCCCTTAAAGTCAATACAAAATGACTAGTTTTACTGCCCAGATTTTTGTTTTTGAAAACTTTGAATGTCAATTCAGAACCTAGAAGAAATCTTTATTCAATGATCAGTAGGAAACAAAAGGCTAAAGTTACAGAAACATTAAAATGTCTATCTATATTCCATTAAGTGACTTGTTACATAACTAAGGGAGTAACCCTGGGGCAGTCAACAAACCCTGCTGGGTCCCACTTAGAAAAGGGAACTGGGTCATCCCCTGCGATATCTAAGGCCTCCTGTGTCTCTCAAAACCTACGTTTACATATAATATTTCATTCCACATCTTAGAAAGCTTGATTAATCTTGAAGACATTTTCCATTTGTTTGGGGGGTGAAGGGTCATTTGGTCTTTTGTTTGTTTGCTTGCTTGCTTGCTTGTTAAAACTGGAAAGAGAAAATCACTTTTGCTCATAAACAATCATCACCATCCACAAATAGAAACCCACTGCTGTCAAGCTAATACTGACCCTCGGTTCCTTATAACCTGAGTCAAGATAGGTGTGGACAAAAGCGCAGGTCTAGAAAACCACATCTGTGCACTCAGCAGCAAAGAGCTCGGAACAGAAAAATCTAGACCAGGGTGGGATGACACCTTGCTGCCTGAACGGGCTGAGTCATCAAAGCTGATGTGAGCTATCCCAGGCAAGAATCTACAATTGCGCCCGGCACTGGGCAGAAGTGGTGAGGCACTTGTGTGAGACTGGCCTGGGTAGGGTGACCTCAAGGACAGAGATTGGCCAGAAGTATTAGGTCAATTTCCTGAGATCACTGTTCCAAGTCAAGCTCAATGTGTAGCTAGTTTTCCTCAGGAAATAAATGGGAATCTAAGTTGAGACTTCTGTTCCCGGAAAAGGACAGCAGCATTTAAAAAATTATCGGGGGTGAACAGAACACTGTGTCCGGGCATGTCTTAAAACAAAGGAAGAACTTCTAAAGAAGAAGAATGACCAAGTCTAAAAAAGAGAGGGTCAGGGGTCCTCTTCGGATGATAAACGACCTCCTGGAACAAGGATGGTGGCCCATGTGCTTTGCCTCATAATGCTGAGTTTATCCCGGGGGAGAAAAGAGTGCCCCTTTAAGACACTTTAGGATGGAGAGCCTCCTCTCCCCCGGGGTCTTCTTTCCGGTGTTCATGCCAAGCTTCTCCCTTCAAACAATACTGCCTCTGTTTCCTCACACGTGAAATCCAGCTCTTTGTACAGTTCTAACTCTTTGTCCCTGACTCCCAGTCACTACAAATCAAATGAATTCTACTTAAGTCAAACTGGTTAATGTCCTGGCGATGAGCTTTTGTTCAAGGGGGGAGGCTGACAGAGTACAAGAGTCAAAATGTAACCCGAGAGGCTGTCCAGCTTCATTGATTCAGTCTCATCCCCAAATGTCAAGTACCACCCTCTCTGGAACAATAGATTTCTTTTAGTACAACCAACGTGTGTAATTTCTTAACAGACTAAACACTAAATTTGTTTACCAGAAGCACTGGAAGGAAAGAAAACATTCCATTATCAACCAGAAATAACACAAGAAGCAAGTTGTATACACATCTTAAAAAGGCCTGAGGACCCCTCCGTAGGTGGCAGCAAATCTCTTTGCTCCGTTGTGTGTCCCAGATATCAATCAGATTATAGATGACGGCAATTCCACACACCTTCGAATATCCTTCTCAACCCCAGAACGCAAGGCCATCAGGAACTGAGTAAGGGTTATTTGTATAAAACAATAGATGAGATCCTGACGGATTGGGAGGTTGCCAGCTGGTTGCCACGGCCATCCTCAATTTTCTCCCCACATTGAGATACAAGAGCGAGCAAGGAACTAATCTTCCTTGTGAGTCTCTGGGTTTTCTAGGAGTAAAATATGAGCGAGAAGAAAGCAGAAAAGTGAAAGAGAAGGCTAACTGAAAGACTACCCTTTTGAGCAAAGGAATCATAACAGATGTTAATTTGCTTTTAATGCTTCTTTCAACTAGGCTGTGTCCAATGACATTTAGTTGCATCGCAGTATAAGTCTTAATGGAAAATGCATTATCTCAATAGCTGGCATCAAAAGCCCTCTTAGGATGGGAAATTTTGTTTATTGCTATAAATTCCTTGAAAAAGTTCTAGGGAAGACAGATGATTCTGTAGAGTGGCAAGCTCACAGACAACGAAGCATGAGCAAGCTATTCTGCAAGAGAGGTAAGACAAGACATTGGGAGAAGAGCTCCTGAGGCGGAGAGGGGGAAACAGAAGCAGAGAAGCCAGGCCAGGATGCCGGGATGCCACTCCCTGAAATGAACGGAGAGAATGACCCTCCATCCTCCCCTTTCCAGCCCGCCCAGCAGCATTCTTTCCATAGCTGTGATGCTGGGGTACGAACACAAACAGAAGCCATAGAACCCAAAGTCTCACGCTAGAATTAACCATACAAACTTGAAATGGGCATGTGGGCTATAGCGGAGTTGAGACTAGATCATCTTCTCTAGATGCTAACAGAAGAGACATTCCGACCTGACTTCTGAGTTACTGGGGTAACTAGTTACTTGTCACATAAGATTAAGTTGAGAACAGTCTACTTACTACAAAATGATAAACATCTTCATTAAATAAAAATATCAGAATGTGCAGCTACTGCTTCTTAACATAGCTTCACACTAGGTCTACACACTTTTCACAGTGATGTTTCCGAAGAATTCTGCACTCTGATTTACCCCACATCAAAACAGAGGTTTTGCCATCCTCACGGGACTTCAATTGTGCTCTTGTTTACATGTTGCATGTAAACATGTTACATGTGTCCATGTAGGGGAACAAAATGGAGTCTGCAGAGGTACGACCAGGGCTGTAGTTTGCGTGGGGTAAGGATCCGGGTAGGATCGTCCCTGCTACCTTCAAACAATGAGCATGCACTTTGTCATGATGGGAAAACATTTTTGGTACAAATGTTCCTGGTCTTTTTCTCACCAACGCAGTTTTCTCTTTCCTTAAAACCTCTTCCTAATAAGTACCTGTGATCATTCCATGTCTTTTGAGGAATTCTATCTAGATGTAGCTTGCCAAAAAGGAGTCCCCCGAACTGTGTGAGCTGAGCTCACCCAGAGGAGCCCTCAAATGCTGCTGTCGAGATGAGACGGTTTTGTTAGGCTGCACCAATGAGATGGAGACAAGTGTGCGACTGAGAAAACTTGTCTGCACTCACCCACGGATCACATGGACATTGTAGAAGAATCCCATGCGTGTATGAACCCCGCAGCATTATTGTTTGGACTTTCCCTCGAAAGTGGCCACCCACAAGGTAAACTGTCCTTGTGCTCTGTGTCTTTAAAACACATATTCAAATTATTCTCAAGAAGAACGTCTTCCTGTTTCCCTCTTTCCATTTGCACCCGTGGATCAGCTACATTTCCATCAGTACTGGTTGTACTATTAAAATTGGTCATTTGGAGGTAAGGAGAGATGATCTATTTTCTAAAACTGTACAAGAGGCTGGCCTTAAGCAATGGGGAAGGAGACAAATTTATATTTTGTCCCCCTTACACTTCACCACTTTCAATCTCCAGATAGCGAGTGCTATGCCGTGCACAGAACCATGCATATAAAAAGTAGTTTTGATGAGTCAAATTGAATCTTGAAATTACATATCTGCATGAATGATTACCTAAGGCAATTAAGGAAACTGCTACTTAAATCTTTATTATTGTCATTGCTTTCATTGCTATAAAAGTAATAAATTACTTTGGGGATGGTATGCCTTTATTTATTTATATATTTACCTCATGATCACTTTTGGTTGTTCGTACCCATATAGCTACTCCCAGGATCACAGTACCACATAGCTGCAGAAAAGGAAAAACAACGATATTAGAATGTAATTATGATCAAATAAAACTAATTCCATACCCAGCCTATCCATTCTGGCTACAATGGTTTATTGTGAATCATACCATTATAACCTGAAAGACACTAGAGAAGCATATTCTTATGCAGGTAATTGCTAAAATGTTAAACTGTAATTCAATGTTTGATAAAAATAATTATCTCTCATCCAGTTTGTGGATCCACGAACAAGAACTCATCTCCACTGAGGGAGAATTATTTTCCATGCTGTTCCCCCAATCTTGCATTTTCTACATATCATAACATACAAAAGATAATTCACAACAGAATAAAAATAAAACATTCTAATTATGCTACTGAATTTGTCTCTGAGGAATGTTCTGAGATGAAGAAAGCAGGGCCTAGCTCACTAAATTGCTCAATATTCATTCAAGAGTCAAGAAAAAACTGGGATAGATAGGGAAAAGTAGCAAATTGGGTAAAATTTACAGCAACAAAGGAACAAATTGACCCACAGTCTTTGTACCCTCACAAAGTTTTTAAAATGTAAGATCTGTTAGGTGGTAAAGTTTACCCAGAGAGGAGGAACAATGAAGAACAGTAGTTAGACTCTTAAATTCCTAATGACTTTACCAGATTATTTAATTTGGACAAAAGCCAACACATAAAACATGCAAAGCATTTTATGTTAGTTCAAGGAAACACTGCCCTTTGGAATTTAACTCCCCCCACAGACCCAACACACACACACACAAGAAAAGAAAAGATAAAGATCTGTATTATGGACTTAAAGAAAAAAAATTGATTATTAATTAGTTAGAGATGTTGAAAGCAGGCCTGGTAACATATGAGACACCGCAAGCCTTGGAGGCTTTTTCTAGACTACCCAGGCTTGTTGGTCTTTTGATGGAGAAATGCCTCCATCCTCCCAAACCTGATGATCTTGGACCATCTTGGCTTTCATGTACACTGGGCCACATGCATGCAACCCCACACCAGCAGTTTCCTGTTTGACGGGTGCTCGTGACATTTACTGTGGAGCTAGAGGCAAGGACTTGATTAAAACAAGCCAGGGAGAGCAACGAACGTGCAAAACAAACACAAACACATAGAAACGCCTAGGGTCCATAAAATACCTTGAAAGCCATCTAAGTGCAAACCCTTCCTTTTAGATAAAGCAATTCAAGCGCTGAGAGTGAATGATTATGTTGTGAAAATTCAAGTTATTCCTGCTTGCCATCATTAACTGATATGTATGAAACTATCAATGAAAAATGGTAAGCACTCCTCGAAACTAAAGGTGTGGTGATTTTTATAGGCTTAACTTTTGCTTTTTTGTAACCCTTTAGCCCTTGTTTTCACACAATTAGACATCAAACGTTCAGTCTTTGTCATAGAAAAGCCCTCTGTAGCATCCGGTTTAAAATGATGTGCCCCCATGATTTCAGACGCCAAGAACATCTAGCTCAACTTCCACCTTGAGAATTAACCACATTGTCTCCGAGAACTTGAAGTCGGCCCAACTATCATTTCCTATCTTCAAATAATATTTTTAAATATTTTCTTCAAGCTTTATTTTAAAGAGTTAAGGAAACCAAAAACCAAACACTCCTATTAAGTCCATTCTAACTCACAGCTTCCCTATAGGACCGGGTGGAACTGCTTCTATGGGTTTCTGAAACTGTAAATGTCCACGTGTGTTCAGCTCAATTCGTGTATTTGCTGCCACGGAAAATATCTAGAAAATATTCCGCATTTTTTCATAAACTTCAGTGAGTGATATTTAGTTCATTTTCTTTGGCTTAGCTCTAAATATCCGCTACTAAAATTCTTGATTTATATTATATTTTCCTTGCAAATAGTTTTTACATTAGCACTTAGGCTCGTAGTTAAAATATGATTACTTAGACATGAGCTTATTTCCAGAATTTTGTTACCATTATTTTCCCATGCTTAACCTGCGTTTTACTTCATCTATCAAACGTTGAATACATGTTAAAATCAAATTTTTAATGTGAGCATCTGAAGATATCTTTCTGCCTTGTACACTTGGCCCTGAACTCAGGAAATTGGGTAGATTTTGTTCTGTCGCCTTCAGCCGTTTAGGGTTACGAGTCGTCTCTGGTTTGCATGTTACTTGCTTGTTAATTTTTTGTTGGTATCTAGACACTTGTAACCTTCATCTTTCTCTCTTCATTCAGTAGTTTTCCTAGCATCTCTCTAAGCATAGGGTCTTCCTAAATTGACCTTTCGTGGGATAGAATAGTACTTAACATCTGCCTATGAGATGCTTTTAGCTCCACAAGATTTTAGTCTGGCTAGTGTTTGGGTTTCATGGGTTCTGGTCTCTGGTCCAGGAAGGCGACATGTTTTGGATTTCCACTCTCTGTTCTCTTGGTATGTCATCTTCTTTCACGTCATTTTCACCTCTTTTCGTTTTTCCTCCGGGGGCTTCTCCGTTGGGGTTCCTCTAGCACTGGCTCTGTGGCAGCTCTCAGAGAGGCCGTGAGTTGGCATCAACTCAATGGCAGTGAGGTTGGCTTGGTCTCTGTGAAATGTGTTGCCCAGAGTGGATTCTAATATAATTTACTTCGAGTTTGCTTTAAGGCAGTGGTTCTCCACCTTCCGAATGCCGCGACCCTTTCATACAGTTCCTCATGTGGTGGTGACCCCCCCCCAACCATAAAATTATTTTCATTGCTACTTCCTAACTGTCAGTTTGCTACTGTTATGAATAGGGCGACCCCTGTGAATGGGTCGTTCGACCCCCAAAGGGGCCGCGACCCACAGGTTGAGAACCGCAGCTTTAAGTCCTTTTCTATTTTAATCATTTCTCTTCTCATCTTATGATTTTTTCAATTGACTTTACCTTCTCTTAAGTCTTTCAGCTACTGCCTAATAGGAGTTCTTTTATGGCACTGTGTTGTCGATGCGGATTCTAGGAACGTGGAGCTACTACTGAAAAACCAGAAGATTTTCAAGGAAAGTCCTGGTAATCTGCATGCGAAAAGTGAGCCATCGATACAGTTCTGTTCTGATAGACACGGGGCCACATGCGTCAGAACTGCCTCAAAAACAATGGGCTGTCTTGTAATTATGCATGCCTGCTTGGTTCCCATCCTCCCCCTTGCTCTCACGCCACATAATGCAGAGATTCATATATTAAATAAAGTACAATGACAGACATCCAAACACCGGTTCCGACACTCTCTCATGTTCCGAATTCCTCCTGATCCCTTCAAACTCCTCATCTGTTGGCTCCCAAATGACTAAGACATTTGCCTTCACCATTTGGCTCTTTCTCCCTAGGCCCCATTTGGGATTATGTCATTTCGCTGTCCCATAAAGAGCTAGCTGGCTTTCCTATAGTGCCCTGTCTCTGGTGATTGCCACGTCTTCTAGGCTTACTACGACCCCCAAATACCCCGATGATCTCTACAATATTCCCAAATCTGACCTCTCTAAGAGGTGCATTAAAAAAATCTGGGCATTCCATATGCTGTTGACACAAAACTCAGGGAATTAGATTTTGTACCCATGATCCATACATTATCTGACCCCCCCCCCCCCAGATCACTCTACTTGGAGCTAATTCTAGCATGAGTGATTAAGAAAGATTTTTTTACTTCCCCATATTTTTCTCCAATTTGTAAGTCTGACAAATGGAAATTACTGCATAGTTTTGTGGCATATCTGAGGTTCCCTGAAAGAAATGGGTATGTTTAGTTTAAACGGCCATATGCATATCATAGAGTTAAACATCTGGCCCTATTTTATAAAGGCTTAGTTTCAGCAGTTTCACCAGAAAGAATGCATTTAAAAATATAAAGTCATTGACATGTAGAAGAAAACCACATCAGTAAAACCCTTACAATCTTTGTTAAAGTAAACTTCAGGAATGTGACAAATTGCTAATTTCCTATGAAGGATCATAAAATTCCAACAGAGAGCTGTGTGTTGGGGATGGGTGGGAGAATAGAAACAGAGGCATTCCTTGGCCTCAAAGATTTCTCCTCCTCTCCAGATTTTGAGCTAAAATATGAATGTTACCTGTTGGCCTTTTACAACCATTATTCTCACTCAAGGGTTCCATTTCAAGATCTCATCTATAAATACCATAAGCCCCTCCACACGATATGAGGGAAGCAGAGCCCTTTGACCAGAGTCCTCTAAAAGAGCAGAAAGACTTTCTCTTTGCTATCAGAGAAATCAAGAGATAACGGTAACCATCAGAGAATTCGAGCACCCTCGTGAAAGTAGTGATGCTGTCTGGGCATAACAAGCTACAGATCTCTACAATCCCCTGGAGCCCCTAATCTTAAACATAAATTCCTGAGCCTATAATGTATCTCTTTTATAGCATGCCTGTATCATCACAAAACAAAGCAATACAAAGAAACATTGCCCTGGAGCGGATTCCATTCAGAACAACCCTATGGACTGGAGTAAAGCTGCTCTATAGGGTGCTCAGTGGAAACTATTCTCTCTCTCTCTTGTGAACCAAAAAGGCAGGGAAGATAACTATGAATTAATAAAGATACTCAAATAAATAGTAATGCATCACTATCTAAAGATACTAGAAAAGGAACTCATCATTTGAATCTTGGTAGGCAAAACAGAAGAAGCATTTAAGCTGCTTTTTCTATAAAAACTGGACACTGCTAGTAATCAAAGAGTACGTGAAAAAAAACCTTCTTGAGGATGAGCAATGGGAACGTGGGTAAGGGGAGACAAAGGCTGGTATAAGATATGAAAATAATAATAATTTATAAATTACAAGGGTTCACAAGGGAGGGAGGATGGAATAGGGTGGATAAAAAGAGGAGCTGATACAAAGGGCTCACATAGAAAGAAAATGCTTTTAAATGATGATGGCAACATATGTACCAATGTGCTTGATGCAATTGATGTATGGATTGTTATAAGAACTGTAAGAGTCCCCAATAAAATGATTTATTTAAAAAATTAATGAAAAATGAAACAAAGGGGGAAAAAACTTCTTTTAACCCAGAGCATTTCAACTAATAGGTGAAGAAAATTTGATAGTAAAATGCCATCAGTTATTTTCATCTTTCAATGAATAAAGGGGTTCGGTTTCCTGAGCATTGCAAAAAGAAATACGCGCTGACAGTACATGTCTCCTGATGAAAGACCATCCCTTACAAAGTCACTGTCTAGTCCCCCTCACCCCTCGGAAATTCACCTGAATCTTATCAAACTTCCAGACACAACTATGGATAATACGGAACTCGTAGATAATACAGAAGACAGAGGGGCATGTCAAACTACACCACCATCATGCAAATAGCAAAATCCAAACCGTGGGAACTGTGAAAAGACAAACAACACAAGCCAGTGCATAAAGTCGCAAGAGGAAAAAAAGAGATTGGGATGGAAGGAAAACCTAAACATTAAGAAAGACGCAAGCCATCTCAATGTTTGAATCATATTTGCATACGGATTCAAACAGGAATATTTATAAAGCAATCATAAATTTGAAACATGAATGTATATTTGATCGTTAAGAAATTCTTATTAATTTTTAAAGTGTGATAATATCGTGGCTACAGTTCTTTTTGAAGAATGGCCCTTTTACAGCATCTATTAAATTAGTGATGGGTGAAATTATATATCTGGTGTTTGCTTAAAAACAAAATGGGAGCGAGGAAGGGCATGAGAATAGGAACAAGGAGAGATTGGCCATGGTTTCTGGCAGTTGGGGCTGGGCAATGGGTTTGATTACCCTCGTCTTTCTTCTCTTTGAATGCCCAAAGTCCTCCAGAATAAAAAGCGCAAAACAAAACAAAGCCAAAGGCACAGGCATTTCATTGTTTATGTTTTACTCCCAATGTTTAACCAATTTTAAATAGTTCAAGGAAAGAAATGCATTTGGTGTTAACTTTTAAAAACTACGCATGAACTCTTTAAAATTTGCAAAAGCAGTCCAGTTTTCAGAGCAAAGAGAAGGAACAAGGGACAAACCTTGTTTGTACTGGTTTTATTTATTTGTTTGCTTGTTTTCTTACATACTTAGTCCACCAATATATTATCTGTGTTCTTTACGGTTACCGATCGGTGAATGGAAAGTCATTTTACACTATAAGATTGTATTCCTGTAGCTAATTTAAGTGTGCCCACTATGATTTTCATAGGATTGTTTAAAGTCTTTTTCCCCTCCTTTTTGTTATGTCACTACTCTCACATCAACAGGAATTTTTCTTTTAGTGTATCGACTACATGTCCTTTGAAAGTCCTTTGATGTAAGACATATCATCTAATAGCAGAAAATGGAAAAAACAAGTATGAAAATAGGATTTTAATAGGAATTTTTTCCAACACATACCAGCTGCCTGCTGCCTGAAAAATGGGTAGGTACACAAAGAAATCATAATTCTGTCCTGTTTCTATTGATAAAGCCACTTTAAAAAATCCAATATACACAATGATTTGTATGTTTTCATTAAGATGCTTTGAGAGATCTCCACAAATTTACTTTCAACAGTCTTCAGGGGCAATAAAGAGACTAAAAATCGAAACATCGATTTCCCAACCTGCTAATCTCCCCTTTTCATACTTGTTTTTTCCATTTTCTACTATTAGATGTTACTTCTCAGTTTATCTGATATGTCTTACATCAAAGGACATGTAGTCGATTCACTGAAAGAAAAACTCCTGTTGATGTAAGAGTAGTGACATATCAAAAAGGAGGGGAAAAAAGACATTTAAATGATCATATACACCAACTGGCTCTCTGTGGGGTATGTGTGGGCTCTATTTCTTAAGGAAGCTTTCTGTTTGATGGCTAGATGGATGATTTTATCATGCATCCCCTCTTCACATTTATTTTCAGGTAGTTGGTACCCATACCCACTGTTCTCACCTGTTTCACACCGAAAAGTAAAGGGTGGGGACCAGAGACTGGACTCAGGAAGGGGATTGAATCATGTTTCTCCAAAGGGTCCTTAAACTGCAATGGGGGAGGGCCTGCCTGATACACAACTAAGGGTAATTATCCTTTAATTAAAGGTCATTTTCTTCCTCTGTGATTGTTTTGCAACAATATCAAAACATTTATGAAATGTTTATGCTCTGAGATTCTGAAGCCCCCCCCCACCTTTTTTTTTTTAGTCACTGGCCCATTTTCAATTACTGAAATAACCAAAGAAAGAATAAACAAATCCAAACAAGTAAATGGAAAATACATTTTCTTCCTCCTCCTATTTCTCTCCGACAAAGTCTGCTCTCACTTATGATATTTAGATCAAGGCCCCCTTTCTTGCATAAAATTGATAATTAAAAGAAAAACACTTACCCAGAACAAGGAGTTGAAGATAAACATAGAATATTTCAAACATCCACTCACACCTGCCATGCTGGAGAAGGATCGGGTCTCCAGATGCTGTGATTTTAACTCTTCGTGAGAGCGCCGTCCTGCAATGCGCTCTGGAGAAACGGGCCTGCGGAGCTGGCTGTGCCCGCAGCGTCAGAGCAGGCAGCAGGTCACGCACAAAGAGGTAGAGAAGGGAAGGAAATGTCCATTTATTAAATCAGATGAAAAATTAACCCGCACATTTAAATATCAACCAGGCTACCCCGAGGCAAGTCTTTTCTTTTGCTTGTCATGGCTCCTAGGGCGCTGGGCCAGGGTATTTATGAACCTTTCAAAAACTGCCTCCTCTAAAGTAAACAGATACCGTGTTAAGGGAGTGGCTTTTAGACAGGGCAGGGAATGGCGCAGGAAGACCAAGTCGTTGGATTTCAGAAACCACAGCCTGACTTCTCTTTTCTCTTTTGTGACTACAAGGAAATGAAGGTTGTTTTGCTATGAAGTCAAGAAATAAACGTGTCTCGTTTTTGTACTGTACTTTCTCAGGAGTGCAAATTTTTTTCTAAAACCACCACATGCACTTAGAATTCTGCAAAACCTGTAGGGTTAGCCCTGAGGCAGTGAAACAACCTTGACCTGTCTTTGTGTGCAAACCTTTTGAAATGTATTTCAGAACAAAACCCACAGAGTTTTTGACTATGTTCCATAGTCAAAATCAAATTGAGAGGAGTGAGTTTGAGTTTTTCATTTTTTTGCCTTAAATATCCCACAGGGAAGGGAAGGGAGAAGTAGCCTTGCCTATAGTGATAAGAACATTTAGTAGATATCTTAAGATTTTTGCAATGTAAAAAAAAAAAACCTTGATTAACTCTCTGACTGCCCCTATTGTTTTCATTTTATAAAGTGTTGGCATTTTGATAGCTCCGTTTGTTTTTAAGGTGGGCATTGTACTTTGCTTCCTCTGATAAATTGTGTAATCATTCCTCTTCAACTCAGAAGCTTTCTAGATTCCTGGCCCTCTTGGATTTTAATAATCTAAATGGGAATTTTATTTCATGATTCAGTGACCATGGATGGCACATTTTGTCTCTAGTCTCAGTGGAAGGCAGCTGTCCCAGATGAAGGCAACATCCCCTGACCTAATGAGGGAGCTGTAGGGGGCTTCAGATAAAGCCTGAGTCATGCGAATTCCCATAGTCTACCTCTGAAAGGGAGTATTTCTCAATCAAAAAATCAAAAACACTTTCAACCAGTTGTTAGGAAAAGAGTAACATTTCTGTTAAATACTATTCTATGCAAAAAGATTTCTTCCATAAATTTTTTTAAATGACTAGCTTAAAGAGCATTTTTCTCATTTTTATTGACATACATATATAGAATTCCACTCTCTGGCTTTAAACACATTGTATTTTTAATGTGTTAATAGTAATAATTCTTTAAAATTCCATATACCAATTCTGTAATAGGTTAAAAAAATAGTGGTTTCACACTTAACCATGAAAACATTTGGTATTCTATGCTGTTTCTGTCTAGAAAAAGAAAAATAATTCTACAAGCTTCTAAAGAGAGATTAATACAGATCTGATAACCCATGTTGGAAGAAGAGTTGTTTTTTTTAATAACAGCCCCATTTTACTGGGGCTCTTATGGAAAAGAGCTTTTTCAATTGATTGAAAAACCAAGTCGATTTGTAGTCCTAGCAATGATTATTTATCATCTAGAGACAAAATTCAAAAGAAGCAGATAAATTTAAATGCTGTTAAATTATTCTTGGATCTACAGTTTTGTTAGGAATATACTGAGTACACGTTCCCAATTGTGATTTGGAATAGATTTTTGAGGTGGATGTTAAAAGCCTTACAAATAATACAGTCTTTGATTCTTCTAAAGAGCCCTAGTGGGAGCATAGTTGATTATACATTGGCCGCCAGTTCAAAACCACCAGCACTCCGTAGGAGAAAGCCAAGGCTGTCTACTCCTGTAAAGAGTTACCATTTGGGAAATCCAGAGGCAGTTTTACCCTGGCCTATAGGTTCACTCTGAATCAGAGCTGACTTGATGGCAGAGAGCTTTAGTTTTTCCTGCTTTCTTCCTGGGAGCTTTCAGGGATAGTAGGTTACCAGTTGGGCTTCTCACGCCAAGGTCAGCAGTTTGAACCCCCTGGCACTCCAAAGGAGAAAGATAGCACCTGTCTGCCTCTGGAAAGAACGTACAGCCTCAGAAGCCCCAGGAAGCAGTTCGCCATGGTTCTGTAGAGTCATTATGAATCAGAATCGACTTGATGGCAGTGGATTTGGTTTGGGTTTTGGTTTTCTTTCTTGAGACTAAAATCGAATCCCCCCTCAAGATCTGCTGAGCACCTAAATATGCCTCAAGTCTGCCCCATCCCCTCTCTGCAAGTGTTATTATTCGTCACTTGATCACTTCCTAATTGAGATATCGTTCCATAGAATCATGATTAGCTTCCCTGCCAACATCTTTCCCCTTCTATCTGCCTACCACTCTTCCTAAAATATTTATGAAATGTGTAATTCCCTTAGAAATCAATCTAAGGGTAGCTTCTTGTTGCCTACAGGAAACCAGACTCCTTAGAAAGACACTTAAAGCAAAAGGCAATTCGGCCTCCTCCACGCACCCGCACTCCACAGAACTCCCCCCTGTTCCCCTCACTCTTGGCAGCCTCCATGCCTAAACTCCATTACCACAGAACCATCTCACAGCCTTAGAACCTGCTTTGGGAATTTGTGCATCTGAGCCTGAGTTGTCTACTGCCTGGGATCCATTTTCTCACCTTCTCTACTTGGTGAATTAGTGCAAACATCCCTCAGGACTCAGTCCAAATGGCACGTCACCTGTGAGACTTCTCAGGAGCGTGGTGGTTGTTGGGTGCCACTGAGTAGTGCCTTGGAGTTCAAAGTCATAGCACCCAGTGTAGATTCAGAACCAAACCATGCCGGGCCCGCGCCTTACAATTACTGTTATATTTGAGACCATTGGAGTAAACTCGGTAACACATGAGCGCACAGGAAACAAGATGGGTAAGAAAACACAATCAAGCCATGTGAGTTACCTGGTTTATTGGGTCATCGGTCTCTGGATGTTTTTTTTCTTTTTTGTTTCCCATCCACATCCACTGCTCCAACTCAGGGCAGGCTTGCTTCTCAGTTTCCCTGTCCATTATAATTTGAACAAGCCTTTAGTGTACAATTGCCATCCTGTATTACATGCCTTTGTGCCTCTCCATTGCTTGATCTTTTTGCGGGGGGCGGGGGGTGCCTAGAACACAAAATCCTGAGCTACTGATCTCTGTCCACACAGCCGCTAACGTTGGAGATCACACACACACACACACACACACACAGTCCAAACTTAGTGCCATCGCCTCAGCTCTAAGTGCTGGCCAGCCCATGTGTTACAGAATAGAGCTGCTGTCCCATATGCTTCCAGCTTATGAGCTCTGGAAAACTGATCACCAGGCATGTGTTTAAGGAACTGCTGAATGGGTCTCAATGGCCAACCTTTCGGTGAGTAGTCTAGTGCAAACCGTTTCTGTCACCCGCAGACCTTACCGAAGATGAACAGGCGTTGGATTGCCGGCAAGAGGAGCCCTGGTAAGTGCAGTGGGTTACTGTTGGTCTGTTAGCCACGAGGTCAGCAGTTTGAAACCATCAGTCCCTCTGTGGGAGAAAGATGAGGCTTTCTACTCACCTGTAAAGATTTACAATCTCAGAATCCCGCAAGGCAGTTTTCAAAAAAAAAACTAACAATCGAAAAGCTCACTTTTGTTTGAGGTTCGTGGCCAACTGACCACGAAGATAATGAATCCCACTGCAACCATCAAGAAGAAAGCATGAAGAAAGAAAGAGAACTCTCAAAAACTCCTGCCATTGAGTCGATACTGGCTCAACATCCCTCTGGGTTTCCCAGACTGTCACTCTTCATGGGAGTACAAAGCCCTGGCTAGTGGTTTCAAACCGCTGCCCTTCTGATTAGCAGGTGAGAGTAACCACTATACCACCATGGACCCTTAAGAAAGAGAAAGGGCAAAAAATAATCACAATAAAGAGAAAGCAAGATGCCAGCAAACTTGGAGAATGAGCCAATAAATCAGTAAGCTGAGCATTCTCAAGTCCCGAGATGGTGGGAACAGATGGCAGGGAAGAGGAAAGGGTCACCTCACCCAAGACATGCCTACCCTTCTTCCTGCTTGCTCAACCCCCTAACTCAGAGCAGGCGTAGGTGGCTACCCAGCTGGTGTGCACTTCATACACCCGGCCCCCTGACTGCCTGTGCAGCCTCCCCATCCCTCAGCCAGTGCAGAAGTCATGTGCTGGTTCAGACAGCTCAGGTGACCACCTAACTTCCCAGCTAGATCCTATCCTGCCCCCTCCAGGCCTTTGGCTGGCCTGAATGCCCCCTCTCCCTCCCTTCAAGCCTGTGTGGGACAGCTTCATCTCTAAGCCTGCACCCTATTTAAACCATCACAGGACATCTACTGTAACAGCCTGTACTCTCTAATAGTTCCTAAACCCCTCCACCAGGGCCTTCTAGAGGGACAGCTTCTCCTCTTAAACAGTGAGAGGCTGTGCTCCCTCCTCCTCAGACTGCTCTGAGAGTCTTCTCTGCCTCCTGACTAGCATGTGACCCACCCACACAAAACCTGGGCCACCCTAGGAGACCTCTTCACTTCCCAAATGATAGGAGCTCCTATCCCCTATCCCAGGGCACATGACACAACCCTCTTGCCTCCAGCAGGAGCCCAGTGCCAGCCTACTCCTGGCTGATCCAAGCTCCGGGCTAGGCAGACCCACTCTGCCCCTAGGTGCTGCTTGCAGCTGTCTAACTGACCCTTGGCCTGTATGCCTCCAGCACAAGTCCTGAACCCACTGACGAGTCCTCCTCTTTTCTTGGCACCACATCTTTCTCACACTCACATGAGTTATAACACTTCTGGGCAGAGCTTGGACCCCAATCAAAATAGCAACAGTTTTTCCATTCTTTACAATAAAATCTTGTAATATTTTTATAATTTCTATTTAAGTAGTACTATCCTTTCTTTTAAAAAATTTAAACTATTTTTACATTTCTTAAATTATTCTTAAAATATTTCACTTTCTTCTTTTTCCTCTATTTCTTTCCCTTCTGTTATTTTTCACTTTACCCTCTTCTATCTCCTCGCACTCATTATTCACTCTGCAGTTTCCATTATCTATTTCCTGGACCACTTGATAGAGTTAGCTGCCCACATACAACCCACCCTCCCCATCACCCTTAAAAGCTACACCAAGATGTGAAGAAACAACATAAAATATTGGTACA